AGGTTGGTTTGACTCAGAGCCACAGCAGCTGGAGGTGGAGCAGATGGTGAAGTTCTGGTTCCAGTAGAACCGGGTTGACTGGACCATCAGGAGGAAAACACCTTCAGTATTGGAACTGGGTCTTGTTTGTCCTTACGACGAGCCGTTCCTCGCTATGTGGATTTGCAATGTGAGCTGCTGCCCTGATTCTGGGGGTCTCGGGTTAAAACAGCGCCCTCTCCAGTCTGCTTTTGGATCATTCTGTATGTTTGTTTGTCCGGCTGCTCCTCCGTCTCACCGCGGTAAAAACTCAAATGAATCTCAGAAACAGAGGAGCAGTCATGTAAAGCCTGGACTGATCCGTGACACCCGTTAGTTTCTCTCACTGACACACTGACGGCTCTCTGCAACGCCGTCAACAGGAATATCGCCCCCTGCAGGACAGATGGATCACTGCAACGTGTTTTCTCCTGGTCATCGTCCAAAAGAGGATGCAGGAAAACTGAGAGGCTGAGAGATACAGAGCAAACCTGAGAGGCAAAAATAATAGAGTGAGTGAGAGTCCAGGGTGTTTGAGTGACAGGAGCGATAAGGTCCATCATGCCGTTGTTATGAGCAGCCGGGGGAAACAGCATATAAGCCCCGTCAGACATGCTGCAGAATTAGCCGGGAGCCGCGCCGCAGACCAGACCCAGGCGGAAATCGGGATATTGGTGGATAAGGAGGAACGAAATAACAGAAGGTGAGACACATGAAGGGGAAAGGTGCCTGAGTTCGAACATCTGGGTTCTGGTTCTGGTTCAGCCGGAACAAAATTCAAGCAACAGCTTTTCTGATTCACTCCGAGGACAAAATCACAGAAAACCTGGAGGAAAAATGTAAAGTTCAACAGGAATCAGCGGCGATTACAGGTTTCTGAAAGCCTGGCATAAAACACTCTGTGCAACGTTACGACACTCAGAGCTGATCCGGTTCCAGCCTGATAAGGAGAAAAGGATGAAACCAAACCTGGAAACAAAACGGAGCCGGAGCGGAAAACTAAACAGGGAATAACTGAAACCAAAACCTTAAAAACCTGCAGATTATGACAAGGAGTCTGTTCTGCTGGAGGGGCAGAAAACGTCATTATTAATCTTATTTCTTTATATACTGTTTTTAACACTTTAAGAGGGTTAAAACTCTATATATCTGTTACTCCTGAATGTCCCTGAGCAGAATAATAAAGGCTGTTTCTATTCTATTCTATTTTTTAATTAATTAAAAGCCAGACTACTGAGCTGACTTAATGTTGGTGGTTTAAGTTTATGAATTTTACACACAAACATTTTTTGTTTAAATATAAACTGATGGAATTTGATACAGTATGGAAACTTACACAATAAGTTAAACCAATTTCCTCTCTAGACGGTTGAATAGAAAAATGGTTTGTGAATCAAATCGCTGGACACTGAATGGTTTCCTGTCTCATCGGAGTGATGAGATGCTGCAGCCGCTGCTGCAGCCGCTGCTGCAGCCGCTGCTGCATCACCTCGACCGCTCCAGCATGCTGACGGTCATCAGCAGATCCACGGCGGCTGAAGGAGCTGAGGGACGAGCAGGAGCTTAACGCCTCAGCCTCTTGTTTTATAAAAGCTCCACTGCTCCACGCTGCTAAACGGATCTATTCCCAGTGAGGAATGAGAGCATTAAGACAGACACGCTGCACTCTGCAAGGCCCTGCCGAGCCCTCTGAGCTGGAACATTTTACATCTGAGCCGCGCTCCTTACAAGCTCCCCTGATGCCTACATGCATCATAGGAGGGCTGCAGGGGCCGGCCGGCCAAACGGCCATGTGTCTTACAACGTGACAACAGCTGTGGGCATTTCCATTAAAAAACACACAGATCAAGTGTTACAGCTGCACCTCTGGGCGCAGGCGGTCTCTAGCTACCAGGCCTCATTCCTTCCTCACCTCCAGCACCAAAACGAAGGGATTAAGAGGGACAAGAAGAAAACAGCAAAATGGGAAACTTTGGGCAGATTTCACATGAGGCAGCACAAACTGGCAATAGTTGCCACTTTATACGAGTTATAATCCCAGCCAGGCCTCTGGGGGAATCAGTTAGCTTGTTAGCATTGCACCTTTTCCTTTAGCTTCTGCTGACTGAACAAACCAGAACAACAAACACCGTTAGTCCAATTCCTGTTCCAACACGCCTGGACTGCACAGACCGCAACGACCAAGAGCGACGCTTAAAGGCGTCCTTTCATTCCTCCAAGACTTTACACAACAAACATGGCATTTCAATAGCGTTCCCACAACGTTCCCTCAGCCTTCCCTCAGCGTTCCCTCAGTGTTCCCACAATGTTCCCGCAATGTTCCCTCAGCGTTCCCACAATGTTCCCTAAGCGTTCCCACAATGTTCTCACAGCAGTCCCATAGCGTTCCCACCACTTCGTTCCCACTCAAGTCATTTTTACCGCGTCACATTTCGGCTCTGAGTAAATGGACGTTAGATGCCGTCGTCTCCGGTTTCTATAGCACTTCTTTTCTGCCGGAGGATTTTTAACAGAGTGATACCTCTGTATTTAAAAGCTTTGCTGTCAGGAAATCTTTGGAAGTTTTCTAACTCTTTTCAGGAATAAAAATAAAGTTCCTGTTATTAAACATGAACCCATTTTAAAACAAAATGTTTCCAGCAGCTTGAATCTGAAAACAGGAAATAATTGGAGAATAACTCCAAATGAAGCTCCAACATTTAGCTGATTAGGAGCATAACAATCTGCTCTGATTTATCTGTGATCCTTAAATAATGATGTATTTTCAGATAGAAATAAAAACATACATGCACAGGTTAGCCAATCAGAAGCTTCCAAAGCCATGTGTGGTTTTATTTTATTCACAGATGGAAACTGTATGTAAACTTCTGGTCTGAACTGTGAGCGTAGAGCTGCAGGTTTCACAGACGAAGCCTCATCCTGCTCCTGGTGTGCAGTGGCTTGCTAACGCGCTAAGCTAGCACCAGCGTGTTTCTACATTGTGATGTTACTTGTTGATAGGCAGACATTAACGTTTGTTCCTCAGTCAGGGCAGCATAGTGATGACATCACAGCATGCTGTGAGTCTCTTTTTAAAGCATAAAAAAGCTTTATTATCCAGAAAAACCCAGATCTGTCAGAACTAGATCATGTCTACAGACGGAGGAGTTCAGTAAAGCTCTGAAGTTCACTTGTTTGGTCCAGACCAACAGATTTGATTTCATCTTGGGCGTTTCTGTAAATGAATTATAATTTGTACACAAAATGTCACATCTTTGCTCCCATTGGACAGAATGCTGGAGGCGGGACAAAGCACAGACCAGGAAGTAAACAAGCTGAGTTTCTGTTGTTACACCATGAGCTCCATTCTGAATGTGAAGAGCAGCTCAATCAGCTTTCATAATGTCTAAAAGCTGCTGCAGCTGAATTATTAGTCAGAATCGTCAATATTAGAAAAACACAAATGTGTTTATGTTTCCACCAACAAACGCAGAGAGTTTGTTGACCCGACCTTTGAGTGTGACAGCAGAGCAGCTTCAGCGTCTTACCAGAGGATGGGTGAACTCGGGGGCGTGGTCGTTCTTGTCTGTGATGGTGATGGTGGCCGTCGCTGTTCCTGTTAGGCCCACCTCACTTCCTGCCATGTCCTTCGCCACGATCTCTAATTCATACGTCGTAGTTGGGAGAGTCTGCAGGAAAAACACAAAGAGGCAAAGTTTAAAAAGGAGGAAAGAAAAATCACTGCAGTGGACGCCGGAGAAACGGAGAAGGATTTTACTCTGCTGGAAAAAATGACAAAATTCCCTCCAGGTGACCTGAAAATGATTTCCAACGTCTGAGGATCGTTTTCCTCAGAAATGAATTTTAATAAGGTCTGAAAGAACAAAGATGAAAACAAGAGAGAGACTGGAGGTCAAATAAGGTCCGTCCGTCATAATTATGTGCTGCTTTGTGTTCATGCATCACATCAAATACGATAAATACTTTAAAGTTTGAAACGTGACAAAATGTGTCAAATTGCAAAGGGTTATGAATTAGTTTGGAAGAGGCTGGTGTAACAATAAATAATCTAGAGAGTGTGTGTGTATGTGTGTGTGTGTGTGTGTGTGTGTGTGTGTGTGTGTGTAGGATCCTGTTTTCCCTGGATTGATGAAACTGGAGTGCAAAAAGACAAATTAGATATTCCATCCATTGTCTGGTCTGCCAGCATTCATAATCCATGATAAAACTGGAGAACTGTAGCTGCTAAAAGGGTTGGGGATTTATAACGATCAGAGCAGCAATAATAATTTGTTTGCATAATTCACCTCTAATAGAAACGTTAACTGAATAAATAAGAGTGGAGCCAGAAGTGATGCTGGGATTTCTGGCCTCATGGGCTGGAAGCCTCTGGAGAAACGCCGCGCCGCCGCGCCGCTTCTCCTCTGGAGAAACGCCGCGCCGCCGCGCAGCTTCTCCTCTGGATTGTAAATTGACCTTGGCCCATATGCTCAGTCTGCTGCTCCCAGATCAAACACACAGACACACGATCACAATCCACAGCCTGACAGACAGAAATGAAGAAATAATGATGCTGATGTTCCTCAAAATGAAAAACAGAGGAGAAAATAAATTACAGACGTTACTTTAAGGAATCCATCACAGCAGAATCTCCTGGTTTCTTAAAGCACTGCAGTTTCAGGATGTTGGTATGTGGAATATTCCAGGTGTAGGCTCTATTATGATGAATGTTAGCTTAGATTTAGCCAGACATGAATATAAACGTGTTTATGTGTGGCTCCCGTAACCCTCACAGCTGATGTGACTCATATGAAGCGTCTCTTCGTATCTCAGGTCCTCAGACAGTCAATCAGATTATTGTTGATGAAACTGATAAGCAGCTGAGAGCTGAGACCAGGATACTGTCAGCCTGAGAGTGTGTGTGTGTGTGTGTTTATCAGTGACATGTTTGTCAAACTTATTGCTCTGAACAGTTTCATCTAAAGCTGACAGCCGTGGATTTAATAATCAGGGGTTGAAAACACAGGAGCGAAGTTTAAAGACTTCATCAGATGAAGATGAAAGAAAATCTGATTTATTATCAATAAAAACTGAATCTGTTTGATCTAATGTTTCACCACTTAGACTAAAAATAGAAGAATTACTAAAAGGGAGAAAAACAGGATATTGTTAGAGAATATATAATGAGAACCAGACTGAACGTCAACAGGAAGCGATCTGTCCAATCACAGCTCAGCATCTGACTTTACATTGATCTGAAAAGATTATGAAGATTTAAGAAACAAAAATTAATATAGAAAAACTATAAATGATATAAAGTCATTTAGGTAATAATTTATGATAAAAACACAAATCTAGATGAATATTAATTTTTTTATAATTAGAAAAATAAATCCAACATCAAAGATTACATCATCATCCATCCATCCATCCATCCATCCATCATCCATCCATCCATCATCCATCCATCCATCCATCCATCCATCCATCCATCCATCCATCCATCCATCCATCCATCCATCCATCATCCATCCATCGTTGCTTCCTGTCCAATCATTGCACAAGTTAATCGTAAAACTAAAAACCAGAAAATGAATTAAATGATGAATTAAATATTTAACATCAAACAAAATAAAACTATGAAAAAATTAAAATGATATAAATTTAATGTATTTTTATAATTCACTATAAATTATAAGTGCTTTTTAAATCCTAATTAAATGACAACGTGGCATCATGCTGTATAAACATGTAACACAGAAACGTTGACGTCTCGCTGCTCTGCAGCGGTGAAGCAGAGACGGAGTGAAGACGGTGAACAGGTGTTTCCATCACACCTGCTGCGCCCAACAACACACAGCGGCTAGCAGATGGTGCTCCACAGACCTGGGAGTTTAACTCCATGCACACAATCACACACCACTGCACACGTGTCAGCTCTGCAGCGCTCAAACACACACACACACACACACACACACACACACACACACACACACACACACACCTGAGTGTTGCTGTGGCCTCCAGCTGCAGCGGCGCAGGGAGAGCTGCGGTCTCTCCGCTGTCTCAACACATGGAGCGCGGACTCCTCCAGCGACTGACAACGTCTTAATGAGCGTTTCCAAAGTCTCAACTCAATTATAAAGTCTCCGGCACCGCCTGGCCTGGAAGGAGGCTGCCATCCGCTGCAGAGCGGCGGGGAGGCCACCGGGAAATTTTCCTCCAGGTGTTAAAAACTTCTGGCAGATTCTGATACAGATCCTTCCTTCAGACGTGAGGATTTGTCAGAAAACGCCTGACTGAACCTGTTAGCAGCTGCACCATCACAGTCGGTGGAAATAACTGCTAATATTTTAACAGAACCCTCCTCCTTATTGGCACCCCTGGGTAGGAAGTCAAAGAATCCTTCAATTAAATTTATCTCTTAATGGCAGCAGGACAATCTAACAGGGAAAATGTTGAAAAACCAAATAATCAGCAAAGCACAACTGAGAAGAAATTCCTGACAAACAGAAAATGAATTCAACATTTGGCTGGCAGATATTAAATATTTTTCATAACTATACAGCAGCAAGTAAGACAACATTTATTTAAGGACAGTGGTTAATTATGAACCATGTTTAAAGAATGGATACATTATGAAGGTGATTTTCAATGAAAAAAATCAGATTTATTCCCACAAAGTGAAAAAAGACGTTTTATTTTGTTTGGTTGAAATGCAGGGAAAATGTAAAGATGTGACCTCTAACCCCGAGGATCTGACTACATAGACATTGTTGTTAATTTCAATCAATTAATTACATAGATTTTGACAGATAAGAGATTGGTTTTAATATGCAGAAGTCCAGAGCTGGAACCTTTGTGTTCATGTGTTTCTGGTACACGCCTAAACCTGTCGGACCGCTATGTCCGCTAACAGCAGCCATGGAGCGGCTTCTCCAGCACCGCCTGGCCTGGAAGGAGGCTGCCAGAGCGGGCGGAGCCTCTGGGCTTCATTCCTGCTTCACATCCTTCTGATTGGACGCTGGGAAAGACTACTGCTGTGTTCAAGTTGTGCTAAAACAAGTTAGCCTGTTAGCGAAGCTAGACTAGCGTAAAATAGCATCACAATGCTAAGCATGTAGCATTACTATTGAGTTAGTTATTGTTAAGAAAATAAATTTAAATAAGCTAGTTTTAAAACTTAACATGTCTTGATTGAAATAGCCTAATTATAGTTTTAAAATCAGTAACGTATTCTGGCCTATTGACCTTTATGCTACTTGTAGTTACAGCAGATGGTTTGCTAAGATCTTTTGAACTGCCCTTTATCTGTGTGGGAAAGAATCAGGAGAAGTTCCAGCTTTTCACACTCATTTGTGAAAAGCCATAAAACAGCAGGAGTTCAGGAGAGTCTCTGCTTCCACTTTGTTTAAACAATGGAGACAAATGGTCTTAGATCGTGACTTGCAGGGAGTTTTAAAAGGGTCAGAGACAGATCCTGGTTGGATGAGCAAAGATACGCCTTATTTGAATAAATTAAAGACAAGAATATGCCTTTACTATAAAACTTTGTACACAGGAGTAACTAATCAGATTTGCTCTTGTAACTCTCCAAAGACGTCTTTGCTTTCCTTTCTTTCTTCCTTCTTTTCCATTTGTCTCAGGTAAATGAATGTAAGTCTCTTGTTCTGCAGTTTCTGTTGTAATTTCTTGCGTTGTCTTCTATTGGATTAAACTCTGTAATTCTGTGACGTTGTTGTTTTCTACACGCGGCCCGCCGGGAGAACCTGGGATCCAAGAAGATCGAGCCAAAGTTTCTTTCTTAATATTATAACCTAGAACCTTTTTCAACATTATTCAATCATTTGGCAGCAAAAATGGTTTGGAGTAGAAAATGTTGCTTATTGTTGCTTCTTCCTCCCACAAACTAACACATCATCTTTTCACATTGCTTGTAGAGAGGTCGGGTTTTTTCTTTAACAGACAGCGACGGACAGAAAAATGTAATGTATGTTAAATAAATGGTTCACTGTGAACTTCCTGCAGTTAAAGATCCAACAGGAACGTAATATTTAAGGAGAAGACGGATGAAAACGGTCCGTTTCCTCCCTGGAAGAGAGAAAAGACGAGTTTCACTGAAATGGAGGGAAACTGTAACGGCTGGAGAACGGAGGGGAGAGAGAGCAGCCCGACTCCACCGGCTCTGAGGAAAGGTGTAATATTATAACCAGGTTATTGGCTCCTTTGTTCTGCCGAAGCGCCGGCTGTTCTTCAGGCCTCTTTTCAAACCATCATTATAATGACGACAGGCGTTAAAAGCCTGAGGAAAAATCCACCAGAAGTTACATGAAGAATCATTCATTAATGCTTCATCTGCTTTATATTTCTACACCTCACTGATTTTCTCTGGTTAAAATTAAAACCATTAAATCGACGTTTCATATCAATAAACGGCAAGTTTAAGATCTCAAATCAGCCTTTTTCCATCGTCCAATCACGTTCCTTCCTTCACATCACATGCTTGGACGACTCGTTTCAGCGTATGAAATATTATATGTACTATAAGAAAACAAACAGGAAAAGTTTTGTTCTGGTAAGTGAAACATTGGGGTTGGTTTTCCATCACTGTCAAAGATCAATCGTCTGAAAACCAGCAGCAGCCCTGATATTCATAAAAACTCAAAGCATTAATAACTGAGCTGCTGCC